GATGAATTAGTTCATTATGTTGTGGTCCTTCCTCTTAAACCTTCTACAACTAAGAAACAGTAACACTTTTTTTCTTCGAATTTTGTTTCTTCTTTTCTTCTGATTTGCATGTTTCGTTTGTAAGCGATCAATTATTCAGACTCCATTGGCTCTTGACATCATCTAGAATTGTCACTTCCAGAATAAATTGAACTCCAATAGCAGCATATATTTATGTAAAACTAGCACGATAACATCTGTACAACAGTTCTACAAAGAATGCAAAAGAAGACTTATTATATGAAGTAATGATACTTTACGTCTAATTTGCCAAAGTTAGCAGTCTCACCATGAAAAAGATATGTACGACAATGGGGGCAGATGTTATTGATCTGTCCAACATCAGCAGAGAGATTACGTTGTTGAAGTCTCCTTGCTTTATTTCTAATGTTTTGTTGGCGGAGGCGTTCAGCTCTTTCAGCATCTGATTCTTGAACTCTTCTGTTGTTGGTCCTATCTCTCTGATCATTGAGACGTTTAGCTCTTTCCTCCTCCGTCTCTTTCTTCCTTCTGTTGTTGGTCCTATCTCTCTGATCATTGAGACGTTTAGCTCTTTCCTCCTCCGTCTCTTTGTTCCTTCTGTTTCTGTCCCTTTCTCTCTGATCATTGAGACGTTCAGCTCTTTCTTCCTCCGTCTCGTTGTTCCTTCTATTGATATGCCTTTCCCGATCTTGTTTTTGGCGTTCAGCCCTTTCCTCATCAGTTTCTCTGGCTCTCCTTAACCGTGCTCTCTTCGCATTGTGCATGGACCAACCACAGCCTCTCTTTCTTCCTCGTCGAGGCATGACCTAAGAAGAAAATGCATGCATTAAATTAGATTGCCAATATATTATCGGTGAAGGAAATCATGTTATCAACTCAGTTAATCAAGGTCGCCTTTCGTCACGAAAAGATTGGCAAACCTTATTCACATTTGATTCAAAATGCCTGAAAATAAGAAATAATAGTGATGTTATTGATGGTTTATTAGAATGTAATTGCTTTCAAAATACAAAAAAAAGCTATTTCAGAAAAATATTTTATCCTTACTTGCTCAAATTACTGCAGGAAACAGCAAAACTGGATAATACACTTCAAAATTCACCAAATGGAAAATCTTTCTCACTGTCTCACAGTGAATAATTTTTTGAATGAGAAACTTTTCTCATTTCATTACCTTCCATAACCAAGGTACATTTTTGTGAAATTCTTCAAGATCTTGTTTTTGTCATCTTATGCCTTTTAATGAAGATGAGAACATTGACAGGGAAATAGATTTGAACGAAGAAGTTTCGTAAAGAGCACGAATGCTATTGTGATGTAAAATTACTCATGATAGAAACTTTAATAAAAGTGACCTGAAAAATGGCACTAACTCAATAACCCGTGGCCCAATTTTAACAAAACTTGTTTTATTCTGTTTCTATTCTCATATTGTGCACCAAACAAACAATCTCAGAGTTTTAGTTGTATATAGATTTCTCATTGTTATTTAACTGCCCTTCCTCTCCCAACTCCAAGTTGTTTGAAAAAAATTCCAATGTAAGATTTAAGTTATACTTTCATGCCTATAAAACTTTCTTGTTAGTATCTACAATACAGTTGCTTTAAAAACTGAATGAATCACTGATTCCTACCTTCCATTGATGGCATATTGATAAATTAAGGCACTACCAACAGTCTCCAATCTACAACACAGTAATACTGGCTTATTCAAAACTGCTAAAACAATACAGAACTAATTAGGTACACATTACCAACAATACATCTTAATTTTTTCTTGTAGTTATCACATTAGTGTATAGAGAATTTTCAAATTTAATAATCTAAAACAAACAATACATACATTCAGACTAAACATTGTATTAAAAAAAATGATTAACTGCATTCACAAATTAAACTCCTAAAAAAGAAAGATTAATGGAAACTCGTAAAAGCCTAATTAAAATAAGATATTATTTATTAATAGATCTACAAAAGTACCATACTGATTCTTATAATTGTATATTATTAATATTATATTAACAAAGATAAATTGGTAAATACATCTGCAGCCTGTATGGCTGAAATGTTAAAATCACTGCAAGTGAAAGATTCAATAACAATCACATTTTCATTACAACTGAGGACTAAAAGTAAAACCCTTAATTTTATTCTCTGGTGAAATTTATTGTGTACAGTGTATGTTGAAGTTGAACTACGAAGTAACATTCTTACTGTTGTTCTATTTATACTTATATTATTTTTTGTACAAAAATCTTAATTAACAAAGTTAAGTTCCTTTACAAATTACGCTACCTAAAATTTAATCCAAACCAAATATAAAACTAAAAATCACGCCCAGTATCTCAGTCTATATTTACATCCTCATCATTTCCCTATCACAGTATCACTACTAGTTTAATACATACAATTTTTCGACAGCTGAAGTACAGTACGTGATAATAAAATGTATGCTATAACTAAAACTTAGTAAAAGTAAAATTTAAAAATCCAAACCTAAAACTGTTTAACACTAACAAAACATTGCGCTAATTATAATATAGCTACATCTTTTAAGTTATATAACCAAAATTTATAATCAAGCAAATTGATATCCGATCTTACCTAACACTAACAGTGAAACGAACAGTAACCATTGGAGTTCATATTGTTACGACAGCGGAAGTCACGTGACACTGCTGGAGCTGGTAGCGTGCATGAAATTTCTCGAATGATCATGAATTATCGGGTAAGCCTGAGTTTGTTCGAGACGCCTTCTTTTTTAGTATGTAAGCCTGGCAGTGAAGGCCTGCGTGATTTGAATGAAAAGAGTTCCCAGTAACTTACGATTCTGTTTCGAGCTAGTGTGTGTTTTGTTCTTGACATTGTGAATCGCTGTTTAC